GCGAAACTAGCGTCGGGTATATTCGATGGAGAACGATCACGAATACCCGATAAACTATGCAGCCTGATAGACCGCATTAATACATTCCTTGTCTGAATGGATTGCTATCGCCGGCAGGCTTCTGATCGACGTTAGGAGGTCTCCTGAATGGATTCACGTCTACTTGACCTCCTGCCTGCGGTTCTTGTCCGTAAGGTCTCTGCTGAGCGTAACCCGTAGGCTGCTGACCGTAATTAGCCGGTTGTTCGTACATAGGCGGTTGCTCGTAACCCCCTGAGGCTTGAGTGTACCCGGCAGTACTGATATTCTGACCGTATCCACTCTGATCGTAATTCTGGCCCGCTTGGTAATTCTGATCGTAGCCTTGATCCACGTTCGTCTCCATACGCGTTTGATTCAGGTGATTGCCTACCTCGCCTGACAGTGGCCTCTGCTCCTGCAACACGTACGTCTGATACTCCTTGTCGGGTGGATTCTGCATGAGAACGTCTGCCTCGTCCTGGAACGGCTTGAAGTCGTAGATGTGCCTGAGGTACATCAGCACAGGCGCGTACAGCAGGTTCGAGAAGGCTATGCCAATGTTGAGAGCGGTGAATCCGATCGCCTCTACGACACCACCGGCTATGATAGGTCCTACCGCGTACGCCACGCTGTACGAGATGTCAGCTATGGCGTAGATGCTACCGTAGACAGAGACGTACCTCACGTCTACCAGGTAGCCCAGGGTCGGGAGCAAGGCGGTGTCAATAAGGGCTATGCCGAAGCAGATGCCGCACAACGGAATCATGAGAACCTCATAGGACGTGCAGAAAGGTATTATGAAGCAGCATAGGCCTTCCAACGCAAGGCCAGACGCGGCCATCAGCCATTGGTGTTGAGGATACTGTTTGGCCATCTTTACCGTAATCATAACACCAATCACGTGAGGGAAGAACGCCGGTAACCAAATCATTCCCATTTTCCAGTTATCGTGCGTTATATTATCCTCCATCCACAACGAGATCGTCGGTTCCAAGAAAGCCAAGGCGACGTTGGACATCATCAAAGCGCCCGCGCATACAGCGATGTAGGGATCCATGAGCAGCCGCCATATCGGTATCGTCTGCCGCGTTTCTTGCCTCTCTTTCACTTGTTCCCTCAGTGGCTTCATTACCAACAGGAGCATTACTCCGTCAGCGAGACTGATGAACGCGAGTATCAAAAAGGGCACCTCTTTGCCAGCGAACTGATACAGAGCACCGCCAAAGGGTGGAGCTACCAGACAGCCGAAACTAATGAAAGCTAACGCGATACCGAGGGCTTTCGAGCGCTCTGACTCCTCCGTGTAACGATCCGCTATCATGGCCAAGCCACTGGTGTCCGCGAACGCGGAACCCACCCCCTGGAGGCTTCTGGCGAAGAACAGAACACTGTAACTTCGGCCGCAGGCGAAGACAGCCGTTGACAGGAACATTATGCAAAGCCCTATCATCATAGGTATGTCGTAGCCGATTCTGTCTATCAGAGCGCCAGAAAATGGGTTCACCATCAGCTGAACGATAGCTTTCGATGCGAACAACACTCCCGTAGCTGAGTCTTGACCATGATGCGAAGGCGGCCCCGTGGTGTTAACCACATCGACGTCGTCTCCGAATGCACCGACGTACTTCAGGTAATCAGGTATGATCGGCACTATCACCATGTACAGCATGTTATCGAGCAGCAGAGCTATCGATACGATAATCAGAACCAGCTTCCGCTGAGCTTTCGGTTCCTGCAACTTCGTCCATATGATCTCCTTGAGCTCGCTGAGCTCAATGTTGAGTATCGGTATTGTCGTCATGGTGGTCGCTTTAGATATCCGCCTTTAATAGAGCAGGAACGTCTTCCAGGGTCTAGCAAGTGGAACTAAACGCGATCACTTGATGCGACCTTGGGAGTGATCGTGACGAAGTGATCGTCGCGATTGAGGCGGCGCGCATCAGGCCGGGCCGGGGGTAACCTACAACAGATCACCGAGTTGGCACGGTTAGCTCCCGAAAATCTTTATACGATCAATGTAATTTCATTCTCTTTTATCTTTCCCGTTCCCGTTTGCCATTTTAATCGCTATCTCCCGATTTACCTGGTTCTGATTTACCAGGCAGAGCTTTTGTTACGGGATTCTTCGTACCGTGGGCCAATGAGAGATTTTCGAGAAATTCGAAAGTAAAGGGGAGCCCTGACCCGGCCTGATCGGCGCTTACCGTATCATCCCACCCCAAACCCGACCTTTTGCGATCGTCCACAACGTAGACGAGCTCGTCTTCGTTCGATGAAGGTTTTCACTCCGTTTATCAACCACGCGCCGTGTAGCTGATTCCTCGGTTGCTTCTGGTGGGTATAGAAGTGAACATGACACCGGGTGGAGGCTCCCCCTCGATAAGGTGGCACGATCTGTACCTAGCTACCTATGTCTGGTATTGCGTATCGTGTTACGAGAGATAAAAACACGGGGTCTCGCCAGCGAAACGAGGGTGAAGGTCGAGTTGTGGATGGCATGGCTTTACTCTATAAATGGGGTGCGTGGTAATTATTTAATGAACCTTGCTGGCCAAGGAAAGAAACCAGTTGAACGCGTGCACGTTCCGACGCGAGAACAAACTTCGACTTAATACCCCGACGTATACTGATAAAACTTTCGATGCAAACAACGCAACCCCTCTGTTCATCCGGTTGGATTATGCGAAATCATAGATGAAACCGTTAAAGAATAGAAATAATTGCAGGTTGCCTGGAAAGGAATCGCAAACGTGTGGTTAATACGAGACATGTCTCGCTTGAGCCACTAAACGCTGCATCTCCGTCAGACTATAACGAATTAATTACTTCCGTCAAACGATCATTCGTAAACTGACGTCCCTCGTAACATCGTTCGATGCGTGTCCGCACCCTCGTTTATTAATTACGATGACTAGTTGGCGTGCAGGGAACCGTAACTTCGTCAACGATCGTAACGAGCCTCCATAGACGCGCACAGATTCACCCAGAGGGGAAGGCCGTGGACCGAAGAAAATTCGTAAACTTACCAGAGTTATTGGCGAATTTCTGCCTGAGGGAACTGGCGAGGCGTTGGGGACCCGCCAAACTGGGAAGTCCGGCGAACAAACTGCTCAGTTTTGAGGCAACGTCCGGTCCGACCTCGGCCCTTGAGCCGTTCACCGACTCCTTAGCTTCTTGCGTCTCCGGGCCCTCCACCTTTTCAGCCAAATTTCTAACCGAGCCTGAAACAGCAAGTGCAGTGCACCATGTCTCATGTTCTGTCAAAAGAAGATTCTGTCACACGACAGTCGACAATTTCGAATTCGTCAAGGCAGACTCAGTGTTCCCCCCAACATCAGGTCATGTGACACATGTGTCGTTGGTCTATCGGGTGAACGGCTAGCTCGCAACGAATTCTTTCAAAGTCCTGTGCGATTCGCAGTAATAATCGCGGCTATGTATACGCGCAGGTACGGAGAAGGAAAAAACACAGGTATTTCCAGGGAAGTAATCATAAAGTTGTCGGTGTTTAGCACGTTTCCCTGCGCCTATAGCGCGCAGGCAATAAGCTCATTTTGTCTATTCCTTCTTCGAAACCGACACAATTTTTCCTAACCTGTCCATTATCTTATACACGCGTCGAACCCTGAGAAATCTATATTTGGAACTCAAACATCTATCTATAACACTCGCTGTCTCCTATACCTTACATTGCAAGAGGGCCGTATATTATACATGTGCGTGACTTCCCAAGGTAATTTCCCATCCTTTACCACGTTGCGGTATCGTCATTTTCAACGTATCATTCAATGGCCCTCGACTTATTTGCTTTATCATTTAGGCAAAGTAATTTCCCATCCTCGTTCAACTCAACGTCCAACAAGGAGCACCTGAGTAGCAAGAAGACTGACCGAAAACCGTCGCACTAGGGATAGTCGCTATCTGCAGTGCTCCCTGTCATGTTCATATAACGTATCACGATATGCATCACGGTAGCGTTACATAACTCCCGATTCTCCTCTATTTAATCGATGGAAAGGAATCTCTACTCTCCGAGTCTTTCCGTACCACGAAACCGCCATCGCACTTTCAGTACCCGAGCATAATACTGATGACACCCGACAGAACGCCTCCTGAAGTCTCCCAGTGATATCAACACCTAAGTCAGCACCGAATCGCAAAAATCACCCCATAAGCGGTTCCTCGAGAATCTTGGAGCGCGAACGGCGAAGGGAAGGACGAGTAAGCATATTACATGGAAATAAAGTAAAAGTCATTGTGGATACTTACTGAGACCGAAGGGCTCCCGATGGCAGGGGCGTCTCGGCGTGTCTCTCCGTTGGGGTAGCTTTGGAACGTCTGCCCTCGAAGTTCTCCCCGCCACCGTGTTGTACGTTACCCTCTTCCCGTCCCCATGACCCCTATAGTCGACGAGGAAATCGCGGCGAGAGCGCAGCCGCGGTTTCCAGGATCCAGGGATTGGCCACGGCGACCAGGCCGTGCATCAGCCCCCAAACCCTCCACCATCGTGCCAACTATCCGCATCCCCCGCTGGTCTCCTCTCACCCTTTACGCCGTTCCCAACAGCTCCATGTTGGGGTGGCATGGCCCCCGGGGGAAGAGGAAGCACACCAGGTATAACGACGACGGTCGATGCTGCGCGGTATTTCTGGCGGCAGGTCGATATGAGCTTCACCTGTACGGCTGTGGGCTGCTGGCTACGTCGAGAGAAAGGGGTTCTCGAACGTGGCGAACATCACAGCCAGTGTTCTTCGCTACTGGTCACTCTTTCACGCTATCTGCCAGACCTCACACCATCTTTGTCTCCTTTCTTCCTTTTTTCCTGGAGTATCGTAGCTGAGTCTAAGACCAGTTTAGGTGTGGAGACATTTACATTTTCGACTAATATCGTATTGGGCTAATAATTTTGCATTAATTAAGGCATCAGATCCTATTGAATTGCTATAGCTATTACAATTTGTATAGGTTTTTGATTAAAATTTTCTGGTACTGGAGACTTATTAACATAGAATGCTTTCATCGGCCCGCATTGCAGGATATTGCTCAGTGTGTCGGTCTTCGTTTCATTTGCGTTTGTTTGCTCGCCGATGCAGTTCTTTGTTCAGTCCGGGTTTGCTCCTGACATGTCTGCTTGGAGGAAGTAATGGACTGTGACTCGGTGTTTAGAGAACTATATTATCGTGATTTCGTGAGGAAAATTAGAGAGGAGAGTTGTTTAGACGAATTGAAATTTGGATATTTGTTTGGGATTGTTGGATCTGCGCGAGGTTAGTCGTAGGGACGTGAAATGAACGAGGTGTGAGAGGTGCTGCTGAGAAGTTTATAATATTATAGGATCCTTTGTTCGGTATAGGAAGATTCTGAAGAGTCAAATATGGCTCTTCAACCATATTTCGATTAATTCCTGAATTTTAGCTTAAAAATGTCTCTGAAATTATTGTACCCTAATTCTATTAGAGTAGAGTAGAGTGTGTCTATGTAAAGAAAGTGTAGTTCCGACTTAATATTAGACATCACAAGAAAAATTTAGGGAATTATTGACAAAATGTGTTAATTGGCAAATATATTTTCCAAATTAGTATTAATAAATAATTTCTTTATTTACACTTTTGTTCTTTTTATTACTTCATTTGGGGAATTTATTATCAGTGACGATAGAGATCACTATGAGATATATTATACTTTCTGCTGTGCTAAAAGAAGAATAGATATAATTTGAATTGACTTATAAAAATAACGATGGCGACTGTCTCTTCCTTTTTTAACTTCCCACTTGATAATATGAAAGGAGAGATCAATACCCTCGATTGAATATTCGAGTATACGATAAAAGGGCTTATAAAGCATTTTAAACTGAAATTTCAATTTGTAATATTAATTTACACGAGATTAGTATTGCATAATTAAAATATTACGTGCCCTGAAATATACTAAGTGATAAATTTTTTATAATTCCTGTATCTCTGTAATTGATTCGACTTTTCCATTATTATCCTGCAAATTAATTTACTCCAAGATAATACATTTTTCGTAATTCTCCTTTATTTTGTGGAATTATGGATTCTCGATGCACCAAGTAATTCAACCATTTTTAAATGATATGGGAAGATTAATGTGTGAAAAATTTCAAACAGTCAAGAGATACAAGACGAGAACTTATTCTCATTTTTGGAGATTATAAACAATGAATTAAAAATTTCCCATTGTTGATTTTTATTTTAGATACGTTGTAAAATTTATATTACACATTTTTACGTAATTTACGTAATTTTTCCAGCGGTTTTCCTAGCACCTATTTTTGGTACAAAATATCGGTATCCAAATGACAGCTTTCGAAGATTCGCTGGTCAATAGAGATTGATATATGCTCAGTCAAACTTTTATAGATTCCATATCCGCGTTTCCAGGTAAAATGAACGAAGCTATTTAACTGAAGGTAATATAACAGGAGGGACAGACTTAGATTGGCTCGCAAATTCATAACAAGGAATTAACCCCTATATTTGAAATACAAAGTTGAATGAGACTGTGAACAATCAAACATTGATGGGTATTTTCGTGTACACATGTATGTCTAGTTGACTTTTGTTCAACTAGAAATGAGATTACGTGTTCTTATTTATTTTTATCATGTCGTTCTAATTACTATCAATTGTGTGTAATATGTTTAAGTAGATATTATAAGTCAAATTGACTTGTTTCAGATGTTTTGTTTCTATAATTATTAAAAATATATAAATTATGCTGACTTTTGTTTTTATTTATTATTTATCGCATCGTTTTAATTTTTATCATATAGCTATAAGATTATTATAAGATTAAAATGCTTCAGATTTTATTTTTGTAATTATCTGATGGAAAATGTAGCTGCCTTTGATAAAAATATTCAAATAGGAATAGAATTTTATATGCTTATCTTCATGGCACATGGTGCAAGAAAGTTTCGAGTTTTGAGAATTCGAAATTTGGTACTTTTATGATTCGAAATTCATAGAAGGTAGATAAGAAAAGGATATAAAATTAAGATTTGTCAATAGGCCGATACTATACACGATCATGAGTTACTCACCCCTTCTTCTCTTAATATTTTTACATTTTTATTCCTTGAGAATTTGAAATTTGGCATTTTTGTCATTCGAAATTCATGGGAGGTAAGTAAGAAAAGAATACAAAATTAAAAGTTGTTAGTAGACCGATACTATACACGATCACGAGTCACTCACCTCTCCTTCTGTTAATATTTCTAAGTTCTGGAACTACAATCCTTCATTTTTTTATTTTTTTATTTTTGGAATTAATATCTTTAAATTCTGGAATAATAATGCAAAGTACCGGGATTCAAAAATTATTCGAAAAATATTTCATCGTGGCTCTATCCATGATAGTCTCCAAGAAATTTGTCAGCACATATATTGTAGTATAGCGATGAATCAAAAATTTTGAGTAAAAATCTGAATTAGATACCTTCTTTCGAATAAATTTTATTTACATACATATAACACGTCAAGTATACAAATTTACCCAAATTAAAAAAGAAAATTGTAGAAATTCGTACAAAAATTTTATCAAAATCTTAATTTTTAAAATAAAATATTCCTTTTACAAGACAAAAGTTCTCTCAGAGCACATCGAATTTCCAAAATGAAAATTTCTTTCAATTCACACAAAGTTTTGAGTGTGACTTTTGAAAATTTCAAACTGTCGTCTCAACCCTTATTCGTTAAATCCCTCCTTTCAAGTCAGCTTAATGACTATGCTCTACTAGGCGATTTACTCACCAAATTCAATAAGACGTATTTTTCAACATTTCCATCCAGAAATATGCACAGATCACCGATCTCTTTTCCTATTCTCGCCAGTCGGTCGTGCTCTCACGCTGTGGGCGATCTGTTTAACAGAACGTAAGGTTGCCCCTCGGAATATTTAATCGAGCCAAGAAACTAGTAAGCTCTTCGCGAGAGCTGAACGCTCGGTGTTACAAATCCTCTTGGTCCCCGTGGTGTGGACAGACTGTGCCTGTCTGGAAATTAGAACAAGCTTATCGATAAATATCGGTACCTGTATTGGTGAATTTAATCCATGCATTTTATCTTTTTGGAACATCTCAACGTGTTTGCGTTGAAATAAGGAGGCAGTTGGGATAGTGTATACCGACATGGATAGAGAACTTAATATCGAATTTTGAGGATTAGTGATTGTTAAGAAGTAACTGTTTTAGGTGATATTAAATATTTTATATTTATTCGATGATTATTGATGGAGTCATTCACTATAGTCTACTGTTGTCATAATATGGTCTATATATTATACATTGTATAATATGATGCGATTGTACAATATTTTGGATATTTATTTGACACAGAGTTAAATGTGTTATTATTAATTAAATGTATTATAATAATTTGTGATTTGTATTGTAACGTTATATTATAAGTACATCATTTTCTTGATATTTATTTGACACAAAATTAATTCAGATATTGAATTATTATCATAATTTCGATATTGTAAAATTACATTAGCTACTACTGCTGTAATATGAATAACGCTGGAAAAATTATAATTAGGTAAATATACTAATGTTATTAGTTATAGTATATTATTTACTATAATATATTTCATCATAACAGTGGGTCATCTTTTATAATAAAACGCGCTATATTAAAAAATATGTATAATGAATATTATGCATAAGCCAATTCTAATATAAATATTTTATAAGTGTTTGTTATAAATTTATTAGAAACTCTGAAATAAAAATTTTTAAATACTGGAATGATTTTTACAATTTTATAATAAATTATAGCATATATTTCAATAATAATTTTAGAATATATTTTAATATTTATTAATTCTGGAATATAATTGAAAGCATAAGCAAAAGGTCATTAAATAGCATTTCCTATTTTCTATAACCCCCAAGGCAATTAAAATTTAGCATTAACATAGCAATATTAACGTTAAAAGAGTAGTGATATTTTTCAAACGTTTTATAAAAATTTATACGTACATATATATACAAAAAGTATTTTCAAAACTAAATTACGAAATTTATATAATTCGTTAAAGCTGAAAGCCTTTTCCTTTGATGAAATAATTAAAACTCACGTAACTTATATGAACACGTTTCATAGAAGGGAATAAAAATATCATGCGAAATTCACTTTGCTAAATAACGCGTGTCATTTGAAACTATGCAACATATTTTAAATATTATACTTGTTTCTGCATTTCAATTTTCAACCTTAAATCGACGTCCATTTAATTGCAAATTTTGCAGTTGCATTTAACTTGCAAACGTGCTAGTTAATTTTGATTACACTGGATCG